TGAGCAGTGTGACTGGTAATCAAAAGCCAGAGTGTGCCCTCATGTGTATGCCTGACTTCATAAGGACTCTTGGGACAGTTCTTTTTTCCCCCACACCGTTTTCATTGTCCCTGCTCCAGTGCTTAAGAGTTTAAAACAATTCATCATCTAAATTATAAGACAACATAAAATACCTGCTGTTTTGCTTTGTCTCATTTGATAGGCATGCAACATTATCCCAATAGGAGTTTAAGATGATAAAACACCAAGTGAGTTAGAAGGCAGACTGAAATGATTATATCATCATTAAACTTGCAGCGCTCTTGCCTGATATGATGTGTCTGTGCTATACTGTAAGCCTCAAATAAAATGAATAAAAAATAGTAATACAGGTTAGAGAGAGGTATTCATGACCCCAGATTTTACAGATCTACAAGCTTTCACCTTTTCCTCTTAAAATTGTACATATGTGTGAAATACAAATATGCTGCATTTTTTGGGAGCCTTCTTCCCTCTTGGTGTGAGTTCAGAGCTCTGAGAGAGTATGGTTTGTGACTGAGAGAAGAACATCAAAAGCTATGGCTATATCTTCACACCATAATAGGATCAGATACCACTCTGTTCTGACAGTTGGAAGCCAAATAAATCCAGCTGACACGGCACCAACTGGATGCATGCTGTTTGATGCGGTAAAACTTCCACCAGGTTTGATATGAGCCAGGGGGAATAACGTTCCAAACTGTTATGTTACAGACAGCTGAGTTTAGGTCCTCACTTTAACTAGCTACAGTAATCACTACGGAGAATACTGTGAAGTGTGTTGGAAGGCTGTGTTGCTGCAGTGCATTGGAACATATTAGCAGAGTGAGTTCAGCAAAGCATCTGACCATGATGAAATATTCTTCTTAAATTAAAAGTGCGTTTAAGTATTCTACTCAGCCCTGTTCTTAGGGAGCTAACAATGGAGTTGGATCCTCTTGCTCTGTTTTGCAGATGCCTCACTGAATCATGCACAGAATGACGTGACTAATTTGTGGAACAGAAGTCCCCATGCATCAGCTGTTGACAGTGGTTTTCCTGGGGGGAGATAGGACTTTTTATGTCGAAAGACACTGATCGTTCTTTTCAGCATATCAAAGAACAAATGTACTGTAGGCTTTTCTATTTAAAAAAATAACAGAACAAATGGCTTTCATCTACATAAATCTCACTGATGCTAATAGGACTTGCAGAAACATGGGTGAAAAACTAACACTGTCGACGAGATATGGAGCAAAACAAAGAGCAGCAGGGCACCCTACAGAAGTAGAAGGGTTGTGTCCCTGAAGGGGAAACATGCAAGCATGCAACTCAGCCTGCTTAGAATAAATTAATGGCATGCAAAACTAAGGTGGCAGATTGCACGAAAGCCCTTCATAATGAAGTACCTAATTAGTAGTTTATAATGAGGAAAGCGTATGCAATAGCTGTGCGAACTTGCTGAACAGCGAACTTCTGTCACTGCCTAGATGGACCCTTTCAGAGGTCCTTCCAGAGAAAAGAGTTCAGTCTGTGTACGCTCTGCCGTAAGCACACGTATGAAGTTTGTGATAACGACATCCAAGAAGAACTATCCAAACGCAGCTAAGCAGTATGGTTGGAAATGAAGATAAGGGACTATGTGGGCTGAGCTACAGCTGTCAGTCAAGGGCATAAAGGGGATAAGCTGAAACAAACAGGCTCACCTAGGAGAGCAGAAAAGGGTGAGGGGACAGTGGAAAAGGATCAGAGGCAGATTTGTGGGATACCTATAGAGATTAAGAAGGGAAAAGGAAAAATTGCAAGTTGTAGACTTCTAAAAGTATGTAGAAATATATGATAAAAGTAAAAAATTAACAAAGAAAAAGGGCTTGAGTCCTCACAACTGATCACAAATGACAGTGTTGTGAGCAGAAGAGTAAGGAGCTTCTGAGGAGACAAGGGTGTAAACTGGAGTGGTCTAATGTAGAACACAATTATGTATTTCAGTGCAAATCACAATGCTGACAAAATCAGCATGGCAGATACAGTCAGCTTCATTTCTTTAGAGTTGCTGAGAGGATTTTGTCTAAGATAGCGTTTGAGGTTTATCTGTGTACATTTGAAAAGCGCAGAGCCAAGAGCAGCAGGCACACTGAAACCACTGATTGCAGTGACCTAGATGTCACTCAAGTATTAGGATTTTTATTTTTATTTTACTATTTAAAATAGCACAAAGGGTTGTCTTTATTTTTTATAGATTCCATGTTCAAAGCAAATAAGAACGGAATAACTTATTTTGGAAGTTGTTTTTAAAGGAAAATTGTGTGAGGAATGGTTTTCATCAACTCCTTTCACAGGATTCCACCTGTAAATGCAATTCTTGCACCTCTCTTGATATCCTAGCTCAAGAAACTCAATGTTGCCTTTTGACATTCAAGTCAAAAAGGCAGACTGTCTGTAAGATGAAGTGACTGCTTCTGTCTTCAACAGAGTGATATTAGAGCTGTACTGTGCTTGTTTTACCTAGGGCTGTGCGATGTTACCTTTGCTGTCTTACAATCTCCTTATGGTCTTCCAGTATTTTCTTTCTTGGCAGACAACGTACTCAGGACGCATGTATCTGAAAAAGCACTGTGGTGTAATCTGATATAGCTGGATATTCTTAAATCCACACAGAAAAAAAATAAGTTATCTTTGAATCCCAGAATATTTGTGGCTAAAGAAAAATAAAAATTAAGGCATTACTGTGCAAAGGAACTCCATAAACAGGAATCCTGAGCATGTACAAATAAATATAACTTAAGAGGGATGGAAAAGGTATAGCTGAAGTATGTGCAGTTATACTGGTACAGAAGCTACTAGGGCAGTGATTTGAAGGTATCCCTGCTACTCTAGTACACTGGCTGCACAACTTAAAAGTGATTCAGTAGAACTTCACTGTAAGTAGATTAACTCCCGAGTCAGTCGACTAAGCAAGGTACAAGGTAATTTTCTTTCAGTAATGTAGATGTGAGCCTTTAAATAGAAAGAACTGCTGTTGACCTCAAAGCTGAGTCACCAGCACTAATGAATTTTCAAAGCATTCATTTTTAGATCATGTTACCCAACATTTTAAAATTATTTTAGAATAGTTGCTATTCTGTTGAAAGGGCCACGTGCCTTTTCTACTTCTACCTATCTGTTTCTTAACAGATAGTGAAGCAGGCCTGAAACACCTGTGAACACCATGGAGACACTGTTTTGCCAATGCCACATTGTGCCACATTTGTGATCTTTTTTTGTTTCAACTATTTGTTTACCTCCTTATTTCATTTCTGGTCAGTGTGCGTGTTTGTTTTGGTGACAGTATAGCTCATCTCATAGCTTATATTTTTAATGTAAAGTTGTGAATACTTCTTCAAGGCACTTAGCAGGATTTAAAAAGCATTAGTCATTGTGCTTCCCGTGCAAACTGTAAAACAGATTAAATATATGGAAGTACTTAGCCTGAGTCCTTTATATCAGAATGGCTGTATTTGGTTTCTCTTTGTTGTCAGAATACCTACATGTTGGCTTTCTTTGCTGTTTAAATGCTGTTCTGTTTGTTCCTAACTTCCCCTGTTTAACAGCAGACAAACCCAGGGAGCACTGAATGAATCGGATGATCCCGAAACAGGCTGTCTAACTGATAACAAGCCAACTTCTCGTCACTTCTATCCTGTCGCCTTGCTGCTTGTCAGCTCACACTTGCTGGTTGTGTGGCTTATTTTAAGTCTTGCTTTGCTATTAGCCAAATATCAATAAACTGCACTTGTGTTCCTTTCTTTTCTACAAACAGCAACAAACTAACTTTAGAAAAAGGAGTTATGCTGTAATATTTCTACATTTTCAGACCCCAAGGATTCACCTTTAAGATACAAACGTCTGAAATGTACAATATTTTCATTATTTTTTTCTGAACTCAAAGAAGTATACTATGCATTGTGTGAATTGATTTGCTCTTTGTGTTCATGGTAAAGCTTTTCCACTGTAACTAGTTCAAAGAAAGCCCACTTAAAATGCTGTCACTGTACACAAGATGATGTGGAATCCTGAATGCTTGAACCCCTTTTTCCAGAGTAATAATTAGTCTGATAAAAATAAAGAAATAAAAAATGAATTTGCACAGTACAAACGAACCCCCAGTCACGTATCACAGGGCGGAGGTTTGTCAGACTTGCTTTTTGTGTTATTTTCATTGTTGTTATTAGCCGACGGTATCTTTTCTGTTTAACAAATAGGTTATTACCTTGCTACAGCTAACCCTTTTCTGTCAAGTAACTAAATGGAATAGAGTAAGTTCTGTTTTGTAGTTAAATTAACCTGTTTGTAATTGTTGCTTTAGTTGCTTTTGCTTTCAAGACACTTTTATATTCTTTTTAACAAAGTCCTATTTATGTCTTGATGCACCACTTTGGCACTTGTGACTTTTGTACTGTATGTGAACAAACATCTTTCCTTTATAAAGCAGAGAGTCGGATTGGGCTATTTAAAAAGCCATTTTTCTTTTTTCATTGCAAAGCTGAACATATGGGAAATAAAACAGAGGTGAAACTTTCCTTCACAAATCTATAGGGCCAGACTTGATAAAATGCCTTATTCCTAGAAAACTCATTTTTAGGGCAACAGGTACTCTCACATATATAGGAAGCAATTTGAAAAATATGGGACTGTTTAAAAGGCAAATATATTTCTGGAAACAGAATGAAATGTATTATTAAAGTATTTAATTTGGTTTTTTTTTTTTTTTACTATAAAGCTTAAGGGAAAATATATTATGGGAAAAAAAAATCTTATCACCTATTTCTGAGGGCAATAACTGTATTGGGCCTGGCCTTGGATTTAATTTTGTAAGATGTATCATCACTTGTGGAAAACAAAAATGTAGAGTTGAATCTTTGTTATTTTTACTTCAACTGTTGCTGAAACTCTGCAATGAACAAATAAAACATATTTATTTATTCTGTGTTTCATGAAGTTGTACTTTTTCCCCCTTTCACTAGAGAAGGATGCCGCATAGAGAATGTTCTGAAGAATGTCAAATGCAGAAAGTATGCATTCAACATGATACAGCTGATGGCTTTCCCAAAGTACTACAGACCTCCAGAAGGGACATATGGAAAAGCTGACACCTAAGTTTAACAAAAATGTAATCAGGAATATACATCTATGCTAATTAGTGAATAAAAAAATTGCTGTTTATGAGTTATTAATTGGCAATGTGTAACAGTCAACATGCTATCTTTATCAGGTTTATTATTTTAAAATAAGTGCAGCTAGTCATTGTAAAATAAAACATCGTGAAAAAGTAGTGGACTGAATGTTCTCAAAAACAAATATTTTCAGTTTTTCTGCGCAAATTTGAAACTTAGTATGACCCATAAGCCAGCTGGAAATACTTCTTGGGTAGTTTGAAAGAAGATCAAAAAGGGAAATGTGGATTGCTGTAGGAATTGATGTTAGCAATTTAGACGGTGGCATTTTGACTCTGAACCAAAACCTGAGATTTAAGGGTTCTCTTCCTGCTGCAACTAGTGTTTTTGGGAAAAGGTGTAACGCCTAGGTTTTGATCACTAATGATCAAATCCTCCACGGACCTGTTTATGAAAGATGCTAATCTTGATCTCTGGGTTGAATATAAATTTGGTAATTGCGTTTTGCTGCTTTAGATAAGCATGGTAACTATATAATATATTTTTAATAATTACAGCACATAATTTCGTTTTGGTTCCTTGCAGTTCATTTGGATATATCATTCTTGGCTTTCTGAACCATAGCCAAATACTACCTGTTTCACTTGCACATAAATCACATGGAAATCAGGGGATTAATTCTTCGGGTTAAGGTGACCTGAATTTGACCTGTCATGTTCCTGTTTGCCATAAACCCTGAAACTAAACTTTTGTTAGCAGTAGGTAAAATAGTTGTTATATAGAGGAGTTAACACATATTTTTAGGCTATAAGAACGTAAATGTTTTTACAAAGCCTAAGTGTTATAATTAGGGTAACCTGCTGTTTTAGGACTAGTTAGCTACTACAGCTGATTTATGTTAAATATGTAATGCTGCATGTAGATACTCTAGGACAAAAGACAACTATCAACTTTTTAAAATAATTTTAGTGCTTCTGCCAACTTTCGTTACTCCTAAATTTGTCTTGCAGAGAGCATCTGTTTTTTTTTAATTGTATTCATCAATTTCCTTCTCCTGCCCTTGAAATACAATTAAAAAAATAAAGTATTCATTTGACCTTTATGTAATAAATGCTTTCATTCTGAGAAAAAAATATATAGAGCAGAAACACGAGAATTTTATCCATGTGAAACTGCATCGGAAATTTCAAGATCTGTAGGAATATGTATTTGCCAAGGATGAAGAGGTTAATGTTTGCTTGCTCTTATAGAAGCCACAGAAGTCTTGATGCGTGGTGAATTAATGTTCTTTTTAATCTATTAAGATACTGAGTATAAATCTGTTTAGTATACTAATAAAACATTTATTATATAAGAGCCTGATCCTGCAAGTTATAATTGGGTGACTACATGAAAATGATCTGGCATGTGAGTAAAATTAAACCTGCCTTGTATATTTGCAGGATCAGGCTTTTGGCCAGCTAATAAAACATCAGGAAGAGATCCTCATTCCAACATTCATTGACTTAGGTGAATTCCAGACTTCACTGATCTGATATATTTACATAATGAATTGGAACAGTTTTTCAAAGTAAAATATATCACTTGAATAGTGTTTTGGTGCGTTTATCATTTGTTCATGTTATATGCCTCCATTAGAATGTTCTGTCATGCACGGTTCTTTTTTCCTGCTGCAACGTGTTACTTCACAGTAGCTGTCAGAAGAGTCAACACTGTGTTACAGATAAGAGCAGGCAGATGAGAATATAACGCCTTGATTTTTCCTGTCATATACCAGTAGAAGTAGGCACTGCTCAGTGAGAGGATGGGTGGATGTGTGCATAGATTTGTGTTTGTATTCGGATATTTAACCGTTACACAGCTGACTTGTACAAAATCTTATTTGCAGGTTTACAGAGTATAAGTCTGCCTAAGAAAGTAATATTCTGTTCTGTCAACCTGATTGCTACATTAGCCCCTACTATCCTTTCTGACATGTTTATTATTAATGTTAAAAAAAATTACATGTACAGTTTAGAAACAGTGGCAAATTCCTCATGCAACTCTGAAGTAATCCCATAGATGTATAACAGAGAATGATGGCCTTTCTCCAGTAACTTTAAACAATTGGCAGAATTCTTTGGTGGAATGGTATTGTCTGGTAACTACTATAGGTTCCTATAGTACTTCACACCTGGGTATTCTGACCAGTTCAAAATATAAAATTCTTTAGACTTCTTCCTTATCAGGAAAGTCCTCTTTCAAGATCTTTCCTCAGCATTTAAATCACACTTGGGATCTAAATTGCTACTGAGTCTATCATATTACCTTCATATTTAAGAAGTTTTCAATAGCGAAGGCACGTTAGTGCAAAAAAGGCATTAATTTTCTATCCTTATCTTAACAGCCACTCCCAGCATGTCCTTGTGAAATTAAACCATCTGTTACTTGTTAAAGATAATCAGTGCACTGCCTGAGACTTTGTTGGGCTTGGGCCATTACAGAAGTGTAGCTTGAGTTTTGTTTTAAACAAAGCTGAACTCTTTTATGCCAAATTTTTGATCTGAATATCTTTTTGTATGTTACTAAGACCCTTGTAAAACCTGCTGACACGTTCCAAGTGTCCTAGAGGAACCTTGTTACTTCAGTGCTGAAGTATGCATTAAGCTCAACGTCTCCTCCTTTGTTTCCAAAGAGGGAGTGTCACTGCCTCCTGTGGGTCTGTTGCAGCTTATATAGGCAGAGGCTTTGTTACCAAAAATGCGTTGTCAGCTAATCATTGATGCAAAACTAGTATTTTTTTCCTGGTTTGACTTTTATCAAGCAACAGAAAGAAGTTTTTTCTGCAGGTTAATAGCTTTGTTACAAATTGGAGTGTATTTACTGTGTGTAGAAGTTATATTCAAGCCCTGTATATTGTTTAAGTGCTTAACAGAGGAGTTAAGTTATGCTTGAGGTCTTGCACATATACTTGTAGTTCGCTGTGAATATCAGAGGAGTAATGTTTTTATGAGCAGGTTACACTACTGATTTGCAAAGGGTTAAGGGAAACATACTGATTTTAATGGCAGATTCATGGAAAATACTCTATATCTGCTTTCTTAAAGCTCTTGTAAGGTATGAAATATTCTATTCTGAGGGAAGGACAATATTCAAGGTCTAGAAGATTAACATTTAAATATATATCTGGCATCTAAAACCACATTCTGCCCATCTTGCTCAACAAAGGTATTTGTATAAATAAGGCAATCAGGATCTGCCTTGAGGAAACCTGAAGTAACAGTTTCTAGCTTTGAATATCTGTACGCTGCATTGCTACACACTTGTATGAGGTGTTTGGTTTTTGGTTTTTTTTTTTAATACCACAGGTTAGTATCTAAATAGAAAACTAGTTTAGCATGCCTAGAGAAGGGGAAAGGAATGTTAATGTAATGTTTTCTCAGAGATTATTGTAATAGTACTATAATATATAACATGTACAGGCCTAACATTAGTAAGCAGCCAGGTCTTCTGAAATCTTCTTTTGGGGAGTTTAAAGTATGTTCTTATCCATGTTTATAGTTTGTTTTTTATGGAGCAGTTAGGAAGCAAAATTTTAATTACATTATCTGGTTTTTTTCTATATGAAGCTGTGTATTTGGATGGCATACTAGCAATGTATGTGTTACAAAGAATAAATAATATAGAAGGACAGCTGAAGCCAACAAAATAATAGCTAAGAGCAAGCCTTAATGAAGTCCTATGCACTGTTAGTTTTTGCACTGCCCAAACTTTTGGCATTACGTAAGTAAAGCAAGGAAATTAGAGAACAAACTTCTGTGTCTAAAACAATCCTGATGAAAATTATTATTTTAACTGAATTAAAATGTAAATCATCATTAGGAACTTAGGTGCAAAGGAGTGCAGCAGGTCATTTTGAAGCCCAGTGTATAATATCCCTATTTTGATCTTCAGAAAATAAACTCATTTATATTTCTAGTTTTAAAAGATGTTCCAAGAAATCCTATAGTCAGCTGATCAAAAAAAAAAAAAAAAAACAGGAAATGCACTGAACATCACCAGGTGTAATAAACTCTGTTAAAATCTATGCAGCAAAATAACTTGTTTGAGTTAATGGATGCAACCGGTTAACAATCTTAAACATATATTGTGTCAGCTGGCTATGTTGCAGACTTGAAACCATTGATATATCTGTATTTATGCTTTTTTTTATTGTAAAGAGGAAGTGTACTGTACAGACGATACCGTGAGACATGACTTTTCATCTTGTTTTTCACTTATTTGCAGCTTAAAAGCAGATGTTTACAATTAAAGTGCTTTAAAGTCATTAACTGTTCTTTAAAACATAAATTTACCATGTAGAATGTATTTTTAAAAAGCATCACAAACTGTTTTGTTAAAAAAAAAGGAAAAAAGAAAAAAATTCCCAGATTTCAGTCTCTAGAACATTAATGGTTTTTTCCTTAATCATGCAACACATCACCAATGACTGTGTTGTGTTGCCAGAGTTCAGCTTCCACTCTGCAGCACTCAAACTTGTATTTTCCCTTCCTCTCAATATCATCTACTGAGTAAGTAATAAAACAAACTAAGAAGAATTTCAGCATATTACTGATGATCCAAGAATAAAAAACGCATTTGCTCAAATAAACATGAGACTGAATACTTCGTAACAGGTAAAACAGAAGATACTTGTGAATCAATGTATCCATGTTCCAAAGAGCTTAAAAACATAAAGCAGGAGCGTTTGTGTGCTGGCAGGGAGAAAGGGTTATGGTAGAAACGGTATGATAATAGGTGCTCTCAATCTGTGGGGTTTGGAGCAGTGGGATTTGGACCATGCTGCTCCAAACTTCTGGCAATGGTGTTTTGTACTCTTTCCATTTGGCGTGCCAATTATTTCAAAAGTTGTTAGATCTTCTGTTTTGTTTATGAAGAGTCTGACTTTAAAATTTCTAAAATCCGAGGTTACTTTGGTACTCGTTTTCATTTGGTATAGCTGTTCCACTGTAAGGGTCCTGTCTCACTCTCTGGAGTGCACGGGGCTATTGGTATTAGTAACATTAATAGGACTTTAGTCCACAGCCTGTTTAATTCAGAGAAATGAAGCACAACTAAGCAATTCAACTTTTTTTGTACTACAGGATTTAGCATTTTTGTTTCATTGCTGTCTGCAAGCCATGTCCATTGTACACTGTGTGTATGTTTTTATTTAAATAAATGTGATGTTTATTTTTTATGTTTCTGACTTTTTGTGTTTGTTACTCATTTTTCATTTTCATGACAGTGCCGATGTCCAGAGGGCAGATTCTGCATGATGCTAAGAAGGGGTTCACTCTTAAAGGATTCAGTGAAAGCCTGTAGGTCTGATCACTGTTCAAAGAGCAAGTATTTAAGAAAGTTCTGATGCAAGAGTAAAAAGCTTGCAATGACCATAAACGTTTCTTTTGTTCCTAGTATTACTACAGTTTTCATCTCATAGCCAGGTGGGTTTTACATTTTCTAATTAAAACCAAACACAACATTCACATACTCATAAAGAAACCCTTTCACATAACTACTGACCTGTAGAGAGTTACTCAATGTAATAGAGGTGGGATCAACGTCTTTCATAATGAAGCCTCTTAAAAATGCAAAGTGGCATGCTTTAGCTGGTATGTTATCTTCATTATCTCAAGGCTTCTTCCCGGATTCTAAACCCTGGAAAATAAACACAAATTGCTTCTGTTTTTTTTGATACACAGATTTATTATATTATGTATCTTCACCATTAAAGGTAAGTTCTCTGTGGCTGGCTGAAATGTAGCTGAAAGCTTGTTTTGGCTATAGAATACAGTAAGATGTGGCTCGACTTCTGTGTTGTTAGTACTATGATTAGAAGCTTGTTGCTTGATTTACTTCCTGTGTTTGTATGTTTAGTTGCTTTACACTGATAAACTGAGACAATTAATTACCTCTGTGGTTCTTGATTACCTTTAGAAAGCAGCAGAAACTTATGGGTATTATGGTAATAAGTTATAAAACATCTGTTAGCATTCCGTCTAGGAATTTTGTCTCTTACTAATAAAAGTGACAGTCTTTAAATATACTTTGTCTTGCTTTGCATGTTTATAGACTTTATTTTGTATGTAGTTTTGGAAACACTTTTCTCATGACAGAATTTTGAAGGCTAGAAAAGGGAGAAGAAAACTGCAACAGTAAAGAAATGGTACCATAGTATGATAGTAAAAGCATAACCGCTTTCACCACTTCTCTTTCCAAAGTTATTTTGGGGCATGTTTGAGCAGAAGTAGAATCTAATGTCTGAAACATAATCTGCATTGTTCTGCACTGGGACATCCACTGTTGGCACTGAGAATACGTATATACAAAATGTGAAGATCATGTATGACTGCTTCTCCCACTGGTCCAGTCGGTGGGAGCTCTGATGTGTACTGCCGCAGGAGGGCTGTTGAGTCTTGTATGGATCTCAGTCTTCAGCAGTCCTATAGCAACACTGTTAATGGGATTAAGAGCAATGAAATTCTAGGGACTAACTGGACTGTGCTCTGCTTGCTTTACCTAAATAAATAAGTAAATGTATACATTTCTATGCAAGATGTCTAAAGTACTGTCCTAACCCATTACATTAATGAGAAGTATACTTGCTCTGCTGCAAGAAAGATTTATTTTTGGCACTGCTTCTAAATAAAGTGGGATAAGAACTTGAGTTTAAAGAGTAACTAAGCAGGTAACATGCACATACGTTCTTAGGCAGGCAAAATGATTTTGTATAAAAATGGTTATACCACTTTGTGCAAAAGTAAGTGATCAAGACACTGCTTAACTGAGAAGGTAAGAAGTGAGCACAAAACAGATCAAGGCAGTCTTTTTTTTTGTTTAAATGGTTTATAAGCAATGTGCCTCTGTACTTCACAACTGAAGAAGATTAACAGACCTTTTAGAGGATGATTGCAAGATCCAATATAAATAGAAAGTGCTTCTTTAGGTAAAGTAAATATTTTATACTGTTTCACAGGAACTTGTGATGCAAATCAAGTTGTCATCACCCTGAAAAAAACTGAAAAGATACTTCATAGAATACCAGTAAGTAAGATTAGCCAGTCTTTTTATTAGCTAACTTGACCTGATTATGATGCAGCATCTCCACACTTTGTTGAAACAAAGGCTTATTGCAAAAGTAAAGAAATAAAATTCAAGGCTTTTATTTTTTTAATCCTAATAAGGGGAAAAGAAGTGAGCATTTCAGATGAGTGGAAAATAGCAGCTCTTAGCAGTTTTTTGTGTGAATCCAGCTAGTGTGCTCAGCTATAAAATACTGATAAGAGTTGATTTTTTTTTTTTTATATGAAGCACCCAATTTATATTTATGTATTCATGGGCATAGTTAATGGACATCAGCAGGGAAGATGTGCTCCTGCTCTTTTTAAAAATCATCAGGAAAGTAGTGCACACAATGCAATTCCCTTTTGCATTAAACCTATTAAGTCAAATCAATTTTTACAAGCACACAGGCCAGAGCTCTGGCACTTAATTCCTTTTGATCTTCAGCCTGCTGAATTCCACTTCCCGCTGCGCTACCATGCAGTTTATTTTTAACAGTTAATTTGTTTGGACATCATTAAGAAGAAAATACTACAATGTCTAGCAGTAATCAAGCACTGAACTATTTGTCAAGTTATTAACTGTCTGCATATGCACACAGACAAACAACTGATCACACAAAGGGAAATTTCAGAGTTAACAAAAATGCCACATTATTCTGTTCAAAACCATGAAGCAGACTATGTACCTGATACTGACTTGCACAAAGGCAGCATTGCAAATAACTCACCAATTTCCATGCTCCAAGCGCAACTTTCAGTTACCATGGCTGTTAAGTGTCTGGAGAAAGAGACCGCTATGAAATGACAGGTTTTGAAGGGAAGCCCTTGAGACCGAGTCAAGTCTTAGAATTACAGTGATGCTAATTCAAAATTATCCTCGTCTATGATTAGCGCCCTGAAGCACTATTTCCTAATTCAAGATTCTTTTTCCAGCTGACTACTACTTAGAGTTGGTACAGAGCATCTTCTATAAATAACGTACGTCTCTGGGGCTAAGGTTTCTACGCTGTTTCAATTTTTGCATGATATGAAACATAAAATATTTTTAAATTTTCAATCAATGATCATGCTGTGATTATATTTTAGTCGATCTTTTCAGTTGGAAGACTACTAGATTTATGCTATATTACGTGAGGGACCTGTGATCTATGTTCCCACATGCATGCTCCATTTGCAACACTCAGATTGGCATCTGGATGCTGAAATTAGCACGTTTGGGGACCAAAAGTCTAGATGCCCCCAAAGGCAGATGAAATGCATACGGCCTTTGAGCCACCAGTGTCAGAGACACTCAGCAATCACGCTAAAGGGGATTGTGTGCTCAAAAGCAGATTAACTAATTACTGTGCATGGCTCATTCAGAGAGGTAAGTCTGGTAGAAGGGTGACTGCATACTTGCTAGGCTGGAACTGTACAGATCCAATAATTGCAGGTGGAGTTTGTGGTTGATCCTCCATGGATTATAAAGCTGTCAGAAACCTGGGGCCTGCTAAACGCGCTGGCCATTTGCCTTGTCCTACTCCCCCTTGGCTATGCTAGGTCTTTACATATGGCTTGTCGTGTAATTCATAAAAATAAAGAGTTAATGTAAAAATTAGGCCAAAGATTCCTCTTCCTACATCCTGGCTCCAACAGTGGCAAGGAGTCAATACACAGGGAACAGTTTAAGAGCAGGGCTTACTACTTATCCAGTGAGCCTCCTCACAGGGCGCTCTCAGCTTCTGGTAATCAATGATTCAGGGACATCTGAAGTACGGTACAGGCTCGATGTTTGAGGCAAAAATTCAAAAACAACAAGCTAAAGCCTTACCAAACCAAGTGCTTCCGACTTGGTTGTAACAGGGCTTAGATCTCTATATCTGAGAGAGAAATTACAGGCTTTGTGGTTGTTTTTGTAGACAAAGTCAACTTGTGAATGAAAACTCATTGATATTAATGAGGTACTCAAGCAGGCGATGTACTCAAGTTCACAATCTCAGAAAAGATGACATTACAAAATGTAATCAGACAGAAATACCACCTTTGAATAGATACTCCAGTGAGTCTGTGAATCTGAAACCTTCAAAACCCAAGCACCATCAGCAACATATAAATATTAATCTTTTTGTACTTGGTTCTCCTGCATCAGAAACTTTGATAATCCAACTTTCTGCTTTTCTTTCTTGTTTATGTAATAATTTGGGTACCTGGAGGTAGAACTGGGTTATGGGAAGTATTGCACAAGTTTCCTATTTGAACACGCTCGGAACTGCTCGATAGAGTCTTTAAAAGTATGATCAATTTGGGGTTTAGTGGATGTTATGTAAGAGTCATGCTACTAGCTGATACCTACAAAGAAAGGATCAAATTTACCCAGAGGAAATTTTGCATGTCAGCTTTGTTTTTGGTATGTCTAGCTAATTACAAGGATAAGGGATCTGGGTAAAAAACCTGATTTGAATCAGGTTCATTAGCCATACTAACCAACAGTTACATCTGTGTTTATTGCGCAGTAGGAACAATAGGGCAGATGAGCCTTTTCAGATGTAGACTATGTTAAGTAGAGCACCTGCTTCTCTAGGGCCTGAAAAATGTAATTTTTAAGATAACATTTCATGACATTTTGTTGAGAAGGCAAGGTTATGATGTAGATTCTGGTTCTGAGGGAACTAAAGCCTGGAACCGGTAACAAAATTAATCTGAACATAAGCCAGAAAAGATGGGAAACTACCCACCTAATCATCTGTGGGATAATCAAATACAGTTCAGGAAATGTCAGGTATAATCGCCACATTCCTCCTTCAAAATGTGCAGCGTTTGCTTTATCTATCGAGGACAGATATAGAGTACATTTTGTTCCTATTGTTCTATTCCATTTCTTTAGCTTGGGCTTACCTCTTCCGCCCAAGGCAGGATGAACATAAATAAATGTCATATGTATGGGTGCACACTTCATTCACCCTGTAGTAGAAAATTAACTGGTCCTCCAATTAAATTTTAGTGTAACACATGCTGTGAGAATGTGTTACAACTTTGCACTTAGAAATACAAAGTTTATCTATAGTCATCCTGCCCTGGGTATAAGAGATAATTTTGAGTTGAAGAACTGGAACAATAATTATGAGAACAAGAAAAACAAAAAAATGTGCTTTATAAATACCATTCTTAGATAAGCACATAACTAAGCCACCTGGTGAAGTCTTAAAAGTAAATTGTAAGTTTAGTTACTCAAGTAAATAATTGATTATTGTGAGCACACAAGGTATGTCACTCTTCATTGATCTATTTTCGTCCTGAATTTCATTTTGGAAGGTCTGGGTTTTGTTGTTGTTGTTTTTTTAATAGAGTCGTCATTTTTAATTTGTAATAGGACCATAGGTCAGTGGAGATTTTATACCTAATATACCTCTTATTTGAAGTAAACCCATTTCTTCTTTTTCCATCAGAAATCAGGTATTAACAAATAAAATAATAAGGAAAATTAACCAAGTCTATTGGGAAATCTTTAAGTACCCTGGGTGTTGGCATTTGTGATCAGAATGCTTAAAACTTAAAAGCTAGAACAGCAATATACTTATGTAGAAGCAACTTCAGTCCTGTAGTGTGCTGGTGAAGACTTTTTTTTTTTCCACTTCAACAGTTTTCTCAATTGTTTTACTTCAGTGCACTACTCAGTACAAGACTACATATGATAGGAAAATGTGACACAACATTTGCTATTAATATAATGTTTTAGTGAAACACCAAAACGAAGATGAATAGCAGTTAAGTGAATTTAAATGCTAGTTCAGCACACAGGGTAGACAGAAGTCTATTATATCTGTTCTTGTTTTAAGCAGTTAGAGGCTCGTATTTCTGAGGTTTTATTTTCCTAAAGCAATCCACGTCATGGGAGCTTGACCTTGGAATGCTGGCAGGTATGTTAAAGTCCTCTGTTACTTTGGTATTTGATACAGTTTTTAT